TTGTTGATCTTGCGACATTTACTTACTTTTATAATTTCAAATTTTACTTCACTAAACTTTCTTGTGGTTGGCCATGCAAATGGTGATATTTTGTGTTATGTTGGTTACCAAATTACTATTGGAGGACAGGTTTTTACTAGATATCTGCTTCTCCTAAATTTGGCAATGCACTTGGAACCTAGTGATCCTTTCCGAATCGCGGCAAGCTAAGCTGCACTAAATTTATATATTTTTTGTTAATGAATTAAATTATAGCGCTGAAAATGCTGCTATAGGTGGAACTGCAGGAGCTTTGGAAATTCTAATCACTTTTCCAACGGAGTATGTCAAGACGCAGCTTCAATTGGATGAGAGAACGGGTGTAGCCAAACGTTTCCGTGGTCCCATCGATTGCGTCCATCAAACTATTCGAGCTCATGGATGTCTTGGTCTTTATCGCGGACTTTCTGTACTCCTCTACGCAGCCATCCCGAAATCCGCTGTTCGGTAAGATTTGAGAGTGCGTTTTTAGTATTTTTTCGTTCACTTTGGGTTGAAGAATGTATTTTAGTCTCCTACTATGCGCTTTGATAGGTAAAGCCTGTTGTAGTGTAGTGTTGTATGTGTTTGAACGAGTTCACTTTATGAAACATTTTACTAAATTTAACACAAAATTAAAATTGTACACATATTCATAAATTTGATTTACGCTACATTCTAAGGCTCTGAGCTAGTAAAATACCTTCATTTAATGATAAGTACTTCAACAATTACATTACTTTTTATCATTTGGTGTATGAAAACTTGTATATTTTTCGCCATTCATAGTTATTTCATCAAAAGGCATCGGTTATGTCACCCACTGCCCTGGTGAATTTTGCAAGGTAATCTACAGCTTTTGCAGTAGTGAAGGTCACTGCATTCATTCAGCTTTGAGCAGAAATTGTGACTTAATACGGGTGCTCTAAACTTAGCCTCCATTAGCATTCTTGCAGTGGAGTCAGAAGAAGGTAGCGACGTTGACTTGGAAGTGATTTGTCAGATCAGCCTTTAGAAATTTATTCACCTTCGTCCAGACCGGCGTTTCTACTATTTGTGGAGTTCAACAGTTTAAGGTAATCACTTGAGTTTGAGACCTCGATGCAAAGCATTTCCTTCAGCACACGTTTACTGACCCGGTTGGATAAGTACAATGCGTATTTACACGGTCCTTGACCTCTTAACCTTTTATAACT